ATCCACAAGTGCACTTCTCGGTCTATATTCAGGAACAGGACGCTTTATCTGGTCTCGTACAATAAATGGAACTATTTTAACTGCCTATTGAGTTGGATAAGATACGTAATACTGAACGTACAAGGGGCATTTCTGGGAAGATAGCGACGCCCACATTTACAGACTAGTAAAACAGTAAGACTTCGACATGTGTGTACAAATCGATCACGATTGATTTACACAGGGACATGCGCAACTTATATTCGATGTGCACAATAACGTCCAGAAATGTCCAGCCATTAGTGATTCTCAATAATTACAATAAGTGATGATAGAAAAAATTGTAAACTATAAAATAAAACGTAGATTATGCTAGAGCCTATTGTACGCACAGCTTAACATTAGGGAAAAGGGACACTCAACGTCACTCTACATCCGAATACAACATAAACATTCGTGCATACATCCTCCAGCCTTGCCTATTAACAATTGCTTCCCAGCTTATTATCTTGTTAGACACGCTGGCAGTGGCATGTGATGCACGCAAGCACAGCGCGTAACAATGCCGATTGAGGAAACTGAATACGACAACAAGACAATCGCAACATATCAACAAATAGCCACTGCCTACGTAAGAAGCCCTCAGTGTACTCTGACGCATATACTAACAACAATCAATATAGCAATATAGCTCTAATAGCAAAAGCAGTTCAGTCCTTTGTAACAGTCAACAAATCTGTGTTTACCCCTCCTCTTGAGGGTCAAAAGGTTATCAGACACTTACTCTTCGCACGTCAGCGGAAAGCACATTTCGTGGTCCTTTCAATAAAGTGATAAAAATGGTAGGTCAGCGCTGAAACAAAAATGTTTTGCACTTGTCCTCAGAAAATGTCTGATATCTGACCTTTCCCCCACTGCCCTTTGACCTGTGACCTCCAATTTCGCGCTGGTGATTGGTTCCCTCCCCATCACACTATACATCGAATATTAAGAGCGTAGGTCAAGACGTTGAGATTTGTGCCGCAATTCCGTATTTCCTCCTATACCTTAAGTTAAAGGGGAAATATTCCCCCTCCATTGACACACCTTGACCTCACAAAATTCGACTCTCCCCGTTTTTTTTCTAAGTCCGATGCGAAATCAAGAAGGTAGCGTCGAGCGGATTAAGATTGTGCTCCAAATGTCTGACGGACGCCGGAACGACGGACAATCATTAGGCGATTGCTAGCAAGCTGATCATCGGATTCGACACTGAGGCTAACCAGTGCATCGCAGCAAGATGTAGCCAACTCATGTCTGCCAACACAACGCACGCACGCCGGCAAGCACGCGCGCGCACCTTCAGCCTACAATCGCTACATGCCGACGTCCGTACGCACACACCCCGCCGCAGACATGAGTGAACGGGCTGCACTCCACAGCAAAGGTCCGACAAGAGTTTTACTTAGTATGAAGTCGGCACGCGACTGTTTGACAGCCATAGAAACATCAACTTAATGATGCGAGACTGGGACAGTTTTGTTATAGCAACATAAGCGGTCGCGTTGAACCTGATACTAGCGCGTGAGAGATCACAGAAGAACAGACATGCGCACGAAAACAGGCCAAACGTGAAGAGTGATTTCGTAAAGGTACAGAGTTTACAGAACGTCGTAGTTTCCGATCCTTTATAGATGAAACCCGCATCATGCAGAGTACGAAAAATACTAAGCGAATAATGCAGGAACATGGGTGGGTATCACACATGGTAATGTTATAACATGCCCCACTGCCTTTAAGCCTGTGACCTCACAATTTCGCACTGTGATGGGTTTTTCCTCCCATCCAAGTAATACATCGAATATTACAGCGTAGGTCGAAGCGTTGAGATTTGGGACAAACTTCGTATTTCCTCTATACCCTTAAAGTAGCCTCTATAATATTTAATGCATACACTGTACTTACTGTATATACAATCGCTTACCCGCAAACGTATTGTTACCAGATACCTAATTTAGAATTGTTATAATTAACTAGCACATCAACGCTTACGAAAATTTGAAGCGCCAAAGACACCCGCTGGACCACGAGTACGGAATGGGCGACCCAGCCCAAAAAATTGCGTATTTGACAATTATATTTTGCCTGATACAGACGCCAAGGCTAATAACAAAAGTGCTACAATTTTTTAATACACTATAATCTATTTAACGCCGAAGATATTTTAATTTTAGGCAAATTTCCATATTATAACTGAAACTATATGTCGTTTATAAGATATTACAATCCTTTTGCTTTTAAATGAATAAATAAGAAACACCCTCGGTCTGTAGCCCTTGGCTGGAAAGTGGTTTTGCGCAACTTATCAGATCGTGCGCATTGAGTGGCGCCACCATCGTTGTAATCAAATTGTAGTCGTTAGTTTTAAAACATTAAAAAAAAATATTTCTAATGGTGATTGAACCATGAAACTTTTTATGTAGCATAATTATAACCTAAATTAGCTGAAAATAACCCTAGAACTTAGAGTAAACTCTCCCTTTAAGCTAAGGGGGAAATATTCCCGCTCCATTGACACATCTTGACCTTTGACCATTGACCCCCAAATTCGACATCCCGAGTCCTTTTCGCGATCCCCCCCGAAGTCCCGAATATCAAGACCGTACGTCGAGCGGTTAAGATTTGTGCCGTAACTGTTGACACACGGACGGACGGCCATACATGAGATTCTACAAGCTGCATCCAACTTCGTCAGCTGAGCTAATAACAAATAATGCAGCCACATTCTTTTGTATAGCGACAATTCGCTTGAAATCGGCAACAACAAGACAAAAGTGTATCTCATTAAGTGACATAGTGGTTCTAGACTGGAACAGTATCTCACAATTGCTTAATTCAAGTTACCATGTCAATGTACAGAAACAGGGTCTTGCAAGAAACAAGTGGCATCATCAAGTAACCGTGTCATCACGTTGTAAACAAACAGGTGAAAAACATGTATGAAATCCTTGCTTTTTAAAAACCCACACATTCACGTCATCAATATTCGACAGTAACTCTACATAAACTTCATAAAGTCTCCATACTTTACCTGATGGTGATGATTATGATATCCCTGATTAATTGCAGCTTCTTGGAAGAACAGACTTAGTGCCCTCTGTAACATAATAAACACAATGCAATCATATATGAGACAAGTTATTGCTTCCATGTTATAGACTACTTTTGTGTCATATTAGGTCTTGCACACACAATTAATCCATAGTTGGTGACCCTTTATCTTTCTCTTACCTCAACACAACTTATATCACAAGAATATTTTTTTAATAACCTCATTCAACCTATTGATTCTTGAGTATATATCTTCTCCACATTAAAAACAGTAGCAAGTACAAACTGAACTTGTAACTTCTCCAAAGCATGTAGTATGGTAATAGTTTAAGCTTTATTTACACATTATAGTTGATTATTTGATAGGTAACGTCAGTGAAAATCATCAATCATCTCGCCTATGACAGACAAAACTTGTGATGATTTACGCCTGATATATATATATATATCAAGAGTGGATAATAGAGAAGAGTATGACTCGGTTTTAACAGCGTTTTGCATAGTTTTAAACTGGTAAATAATCTATGAATATGTGAATGAATATATTCAAACTTTACCTTGTTTTCGTCTATGATTTTCCCTTAATCATATGACACCACCAATTTACCTGAAAATCGTATGTGTTCTTCAAAAAAGTTATTTGAATACGACACGGTTTCGTACAGTTTTCACGCATGAATGCATC